CTCTTTTTCCAGCTTTTTCTGAACCTTTGTACTAAAGCAGCTGTCAGTAAACATGCTGTTAAAGTCTCTGCTGGTGAGGAGCTCTCTGATAGTCCAGGTACTCTGTGAGAGGAGTCAGCAGGTAAAAAAGGCAGAGCACACACAGCTGATCCTCATATGGAACAAGGAAAACACTACAGGAAGGAAGACACAGGAAAAACCCTCATGGAGGGAAAACGGAACCTCACTGGGAGACTTTTAAAGAGGAACCATAGAAATGACATGTTGAATCCTGTCTTACTTTGTGTCTGGGGGTCCAGGTCCATCTCTGAGGTCTGGAGGTTTTTCTCTGGACCGGTCACTCTTCACAGACACACAGTCGGGTTGTGGATCTTCTGCTCTCTGTCTGTGGATCTGACCTCTGCAACACAAACACGTTGTTCACATCATCACAGAGAAACTCTCTGTGTCATAATCTGGGTCCCTTTGTCTCACCACCTGATGTCGCTAAAGTCCCTCTTCCTTTTTGGTTGTCTGTCTCCACCACCTGTTCCCTATTATTGTCATGTGATTGCCTCGTTATGTTGGAGTATTTAAACCCTGTGTTCTGTTGCCCTCCTTGTTGAGTCTTTGTTGGTCACCCAGTAAGTCTTGTGCGCTTCTTTGCTCTTTTGCCTCAAGTCGCTTTTTGTTCTTTGGGTCTTATATCTGTTTGTCCTTGCCGAAGTACTTACCTTTTGGATGTATTTTGTTTTTGAGATCTAACTATCTGTGTTCTGAACTTTTTACCTTTATTGGAAACTTCTGAGCGTTTGATTATTTTTGGGAAATAAACTAATTTCCTCGTTCACACTTGCCTGCGCTTGAGTCACTATCTAGGCCTCCGTGGGTCAGGAGATTGCTTCCCCCCCCTGCCACCTGGGAGACCCGGGATCCATCCCTGACACTCTGATGGAAACTAATCCAAACCTCTGAGCACACAAACTGCTGCAGAGGATCAGGAACTTTCCTCTGTGGGACTCTCCTCTCAGACCATAGTCCAGCTTTTTCTCTAGCTGTTTCTGAACCTTTGTCCTAAAGCAGCTGTCAGGAAACATGCTGTTAAAGTCTCTGCTGGTGAGGAGCTCTCTGATAATCCGGGTACTCTGTGAGAGGAGTCAGCAGGTAGAAAAGGCAGAGCACACACAGCAGAAAACACCAGCTCAGGGTTCCTGTTCATCCCTCTGATGACAACATTATGTCTCCTGATTTAACACCCCCACCCCCCAACCCATCATTAAGGTTCCAGCATTCATTTTCTACCTCGTCCTTTATCTACTGTACATTCACCAAGTTTGACTTCCTGTTCCATCTGTTTTTGCTCTTCTCTACAGGTTAACCCTCCCTGATCAGAACAAACATTTCTCTTGTTAGTGACGTTCCAATATGTGGAGACACAGCTTTGTTAGGGGGTAAATGTCATTCCATTTGTGGGGGATTAGCAAACCCATCTAAAGGACCCACCATCAGCACAAACAGCCTCAGCTGGCTGGTCATAAACACCTTTAGATGTTCCACCTCAGATCAGACCCTGAGCCCTTCATGAGCAGCTCTCTTACTTTGTGTCTGATGGACCCGGACCAGCTCTGAGGTCTGGAGGTCTGGACCCTGGGTCCCTGTTCAGAGCCTCAGACTCTGCTCTGTCCATCTTCTGGACTTCAGTCACTCTGAAAAAAGAGAAGAAAATACATGAACCAGACGGTTTGTTCAGGGCTCATAGCCAATCAGAAGCAGCTGTAGTACCATGGTCAAACTGATGTGTTCATACAAGTTTGCTCTGTTGTGTTTTTGTTCTGTTTAGGATCATTTCACATAATATAAACAATTTACTTACAGTCAACGTAATGACTTTATTATGTCAGCTTTTTGTGGAACTGATCAATGTTCTAGATGTTATTAGATACTGCATAACTATTGGTTCACACAGGTATCAGTCAAACGTAAAGGACAGAGTTCACTGACGTGTGTCAGCCTATCAGAGTAAAAGCCCCTCCCATCTCTTCAAAGAGAAATAAAGGAATTCAACAGAAAAGTTGAGCACATCATCAGACACAATCACCAGCTGACCACAGAATACAGAAACCAATTAGCTGGAGTCGCACAGGCAGCTCAGATGCTTGGAGAGGCTCAAGCTTCCAAACTGACGTCAGTAGCAAAAGGAAACTTCAACAAGACTTCAACCTACCAAAGCATTTTGGAGGAGATTGTTCTGGAAAAACAGAAACATTCCTTTAGGACATTCAGTGATCAGTGAACAGGAAGTTGTCTTGTTCACTTCAGAGCTAACTGGCCAATCAGACTCAGCTTCGCTTAGCTTGTGTTGACAATCTATCACCTGAGTTTTCCATGCTTTGCATTCAATCATTGGCAGCTTCCTGAGTTTGTTTAGCTAGAAAACCAATTGATTGGATGGAATCTTCTTTTAGGTTTGGTCTCAGTGGCTGAGCATGTGCAGGGTGACATTGTAGAGGCTCATCTTCCTTTTAACAGGAAGAAAACTCAGAA